AAACGGCAACTTGGAAATTTTCATCGACGTGTAAGATTAAGAGGATTGGTTTATGTTCTTACGAGGGCATGAGAGGATCTACATTTGCCGTCACAAAATCTACAACCCTGCACGACTAACACACCATACCTGATTATGTGTTCATGCTAATGAAAATAACTCAAATATTCGAATTTCTAAGCTAACACATGGCTGGGATAAATAACGTACTCTTTACAGGATCTTGAAGCTAGCTGAAGGCCCTCGATAGATTTTAATTCTTCCTGCTCGCAACAAAATTGTAGTTAAATTTATCGACTAAATATCACTTGTCTCTCGATTCTTTGGCATGTAAGCGAAGGTCTAACAAGGTAACACTTGAGAGGAGGTGAAATGGAATGAAGCTCAGTAAACGAAAACAAAATCATTCAAGAAAGATACGAAGATGATTAGTAATGAAAGCACGTCGATTTAGCTGAAAACAACTAGGCAAACAAGACCCCTATATTTCAATTTTTTTTTATTGAACTATAATTTGTGTTTCTAAAATTGCAAGTGGCTAAAGACCCTACATTACAAACCAGAAAGTTCCCTTTACAAAATTACAGGAAATGCAGTGCTCAGTCAATTTTTCTTTTAACCAACAGGGTAAAAAACAGAGAACATAAACAAGAGGCATGAAAATCTGGGCAAGTTGCTAAGTTCAAGAACATTACAACTTTTTAGTTAACTTCTGCTAGTTACCATATTTTAATCTTTAAGAGGAAATTTTACTTGATTGGTGTGCTTTTTTCCTTTCTCCCAGATTAAATATTCTCAAACCCAAAGCCAGGTATAAAACAAAGAGAAAAACATTGGGCTCCAGGTGCCAGCATGGAACAACACAAAATACAAAGCTATCAGAGATTTTGATTTTCCTTTTAATTAAATAAACAACAATGGGATCCATCACTATGCTATAAATAAAAATTAAAAATTGAAAATTTGTTTTCATTTATCTCTCCTCATAGGCATATGCCAAAAAAGCACTCACATTAAACTTGAAATCGACAGCCCTGTTTACATAAAAATAAAAGAACAATCTTCATCATTCTGTGTAACAAACATAGGCCTGTAAAAATATATTTCTCGGTAAAAAATATTAATTTTCCAGGATGTCAAGACTCTAGGGGTGTAAACAAGCTCGAGTTGAACTCGTTTATCAATATTAACACCCTGAGATCGAGCCTTAACGAGCAAAATTATATAAAACTACATAAAAAATTCTATTTTCAAGCCTGAACGAGCTGAGCCGAGCCTCGTTAACTATACTAGCTTTAATCTGGCTAATTTATCAACCATGTAATTTTTTAATAGAATGTGCTAGGATAAAAGATTTCCTCAGGTAAAGAAAAACAGTTGACAAATGAGAATAATTCTTGAAATGCAATAGCAATATTTCCCAAAACCAGCTGACTTAAGTACAGCATTGCATTTTTTAAACACAGNGAAAATAACCAAAAAATTTAGAGAAGCTCAAATTTAACTCTGTAAATCAACCGAAACAGAGAAAAATTGGATAAGTTCATAGGGAGCCTAGAAACATCACCAAACTTTGACTATATAAAACACAAATAAAATCACCTCAAGAAAACCAATTTCTCTCTCCAGTATCTGCACCTTGGCAAGCTCTCTCCGCCGTCCGTACAGCTCCGGTGGCGACTTGGGCTGTGGCGGCGGGAGAGATGGCACCGTACCATTTCCCATAAGCCCAGACATCCTTTTCCCCTTTACAGAACTCTTTCAAAGCACACTATTTACCCATTTCTAAGAACACCTCATCAACACTCATGCACCAAACTAAAGAGCCCCAGAAAATAAAAAATAAAAATAAAAATTGCTGCTTTTTCTCACAAAAGAGAGAGAGAGAGAAACTGAACTGAGGCAGAGCCCAGAGAGAGAGAGAGGGCGAGGGAGAAAATGCCACCACAGCTCACAAGAAAAAACTATAGACAAAGGAAAATTATTACAACTGACAATTTCATTTGATTTTCTTGTTTTTCTTTTCAATTTCTGTGATTATTGGTGGGATAATTACAGAGGAGGCCCCAAAGATTTTTTTTTTTTTTTTCTTTTTATCAATTGATTTTCTTTACTGTCACACAACAACCATGGACAGGCCCAATTCACAGGAAAACAACTGTTAGGCCTTCTCTGCCAGCGAGTCACTGTGGTACGCACACACTTCACCCACAAAACAATAGCACAAATAACCATACTATGTATGGAAACAAACGCGTAAATGCCTGCATAATGCGAGTAAATGTCTCATTTATTTCATCCCACACTTGTCTGCAGTTGCAGAAAATTAATGAAACGAAGGCCCCAAAAAAGACAGGATATTTATTTTTTTTATTTTTTTAATAAACCATTAAATGTGCGGAAAAACAAGAAAATAATCACACCCCAGATACTTAATTTCTTCTTCTTTTTTTACTGTGACCCGGGGAGGGTGAAAAGTAGGCAATAATGGGAGGAAAAAGGGAGAAAAAAGACTGAATTTTTATTTTGAGGGGAACAATGATGGAGGTGGTAACGAGCGAAAAAAGCTGCATATAAAAGGAGAAAGTGAGCTTGAAGAAGTGGGTACAATGCAAATAATGGCTTGTACTATTGCTCAAAGTTTAAAGTAATTCGGGCTCTGTCGCTATCTTTTCACGCAGTGGAGGGTGTTTTGTGTGTGTGTGTGTGTGTGTGAATTTTGTAGTTTAATTTGAATTTGGCAGTGGAGATGAAAAGGAGAGTGATGGGCGAGGAGAACACGACGCCGCACCACAGAGCACACGTGACTCACTGCGTAGGATCATATGAGAGGGAGAAACTTTGAATATAGTAACTATGTTTTATGTAATTTGCTGACATAAACCGGGATGGATTCAGAAATAAAGGGTAGATTGGGTTAGAATTCATTTTCAAAAAAATCACATAATATTTCTTTTCAAATATTTATTGACGTTGTACTCGATGAGTTTTTTTAAAAAATAAAAGAAAATCATTATGCTCATTTTGCATCGTATTTGATGTGTTTTCACTAGTTTGACGTTGATCTCGTTTTTGTAAAGAATGATGATATCAACGGGGTTTTTCTTTTCTTGGCCGAAGGTTGGTGCTCCATGTGAATTTCTAAAAATTCCACAATACAAAATAAATAAATTTTTTATATGATATAGTTATTAGCAAAATAAAATGCCTACACATCATAAATTTTTTATTCAAATATGATATACAACAACCACACTAGAGGATAAGAAATTAAACATACATTAGGGGTGGGCACGGTCCGGGACGGTCCGGGATTTGACCTATCCCAGTACCTTTCCCGTTTCTTTGAACCGGTCCGGGATGAGACACCGTCCCAAATGGATCGATATCAATTGAGACCGGGACAAAACGGTTCGAGACAGGGACAAAACAGATCAAAAAAAAAAAAAAAAAAAAAAAAANTAGAATTGGGCTTCTAAATAGTACAATTTACAACATACAAATACAAAGGGCCAAAAAAATAAAAATATTTTTGTATTTTATATAAATATAGTATAATAATAATGATTATGAACTAATGAAGTTTAATAATTATTCACTATATTATTAATATAACTATAATAATATGTATTATATATATATATACATATATATATATATATAATATTTTTGTACAAAAAAATAAAACGGGACAAACGGGACGGTTCGGGAAAAAAATATTAAAAACCTATACCGGCATTGCTTAAATCGGTTCGGAACCGGGAACGGGACAAAAATAAAGAAAACCTTTTTGAACCCTATTTTTCGAAACGGGATCATTTCGGTCCGATTCGGGACCGGGAAATTCGGTTTTTTTGCCCACCCCTAACACACACACACACATATACACACACGCACAATTACTACGCCATACACAATCAACAAAACAATAATTGCAACGAAGATCCTAGCAATAATTATTAAAATCCTAATATATAGCTCAACTAAAATGAGAAGATAGACAAAGACAATTAGATAAATAAAATAAATATGTAATAGGGGATTTAAAAATATAACTTATTATTAAAGAAGATATTAAATCGTCTTCATGAAAGTAGTTCTTTCTTGTTGAATAGTTTTCTTTTTCCTTCCAAATTCATTGTTATGGTGTTCAGATGAGGGACATGGCAGTAACTAATTTATTTGATTGGAGTTTGGCATTTATTTGATTGGAGTTTGGTGTAGAGTGGTGCTTTGTGGGTTAGTGCATAGTAGAAAGTGTGGATTAACAATATATAATATTTTATTAGAATGGTGTTAGTAGTCTTTGGACTTAATAGATAAGTGAATAATTTTGGTGGGTTAGTAAGTTGATTTATTGGGTTGGGCTAAAAATGCAATAATTTATATATATATATATATAAAGAAAAAAAAAAAGAGAGAGAAAATTACTTAGCCATATATAGATCCGTCCCTAGACCTAAACATCACCAACAAAATTGAGGTCTATGATGTTTCGATACAAATATTTTCAAAAAAAATCCAATTATTTTTAACCAATCATTTTTTAAATTAAATTTAACTCAACCCCACTATCATCAATATTATCAATATAATAAAATAATACAACTCCATCATTTTTACACATTATATCAACTTTAATTCACTATTCATTCACTCACATAATTTTAACTAACTATCGCTTCACATCATCTCTCTCCTACTTTTACATCAAATCAACTTTAATTATTTTATTTTAAATATAATTTTAATATAAATTCAAAGTCTCACTAACAACTAATCATACTACTTTTTCAAAATTAACCATATCAAACAAAAAAATCCAATCAAAATCAAAGTTATCTTATATTCAAGCATAAGTGATTCTAGATTTTAAAAGTAGTGTGATACGTAAAGTAATAAAATCCAACCGAAATAGTTGTTCGATTCAGTCGGTTAATCAAGTAACCAAATGATATTATAAATAGAAATATTTATGTTTGATTCAAAAAAATATAATTAATAGTTATATTATTTTCATTAAAAATATAAAATTTATATGACTATTTAATTTGGTTCGCTAATTAATTTTTTTTCAAATTAAAATAGAATTAAAAAAAAACCAAAATAACCATTTTTTTTAAAATAAAAATTGATAATTGAACCAACATTTAATAAAAAAAAATAGAAATTTATATTTTTGTCGGCTATTTCGGTTATTTTGACAGTTAGCTCTGATTTGTGCTATTAAATATACTTATTTCGTAATTAGGTCCTCGTTCTTACCGTATTGGGTTAAAAAGGATGACAAAATGGGGTTATTAGATTGAATATATCATGCTAAAAAATATAATTGTTGACATGAAGTTTGACACAATAAATATATGGCAAGATAGTGTGATTTTACAAGTTATATCAATTTTAAAATCAACTAAATCCTATGCATACTCATTATTTGTATTATCTAACATAGCAGTACTTTATTGCAATTGCTTTCGTCATTTATGTTGTAGAGAGGAGTAGGTGTTGGTGGGAAAACAAAGGTGAGTTTTGGGGACAATCAGACAGAATCTCTGTTGCTCGACCTAACGGCTAGCACATTGTTTAAAATTATAATTAAAAAATAAAAGATATCAGGCTTTGATATGACTAGATCAGTCAATGAATTGAAGTCGAATTTTGTCAAGCTAATAAATGAATTCGAGTTCGATTCATTAAATAATATTAATGAATTGTTCGAGCCTTGAAGAACCGCACGAACCTTCATGAATCGAGCTTAATTTAAAATTTCAAAAAATTGCATAAGAACCCGTATATTCTCTAGCATAACAATCTTAACAAATCAAGTTCAGCTAAATTCATTAACTAAACGAGTTTGCACTCATGAGTCAAGTCGAGTTTACGAACGGCTCGAAACTCTAATTTTTATGTACTAGCTCAATAATGTTGATTATCCATTAGGAATGACAAAAAACAATATCAAGATTATAAATGAATGTTAGTGAACTAATTGATAAAAACAGTATTATATTCCTGTTGAATTATTCTATAGTCTATGCTACAGGATGCCATTTTAGGTGAGTGCTTTTGGGCTGGTCCTGAAAACATTACAATTTCTCTTGTTAGCATGCAAAATTGTTATCAAGAATTAAAAAGCATGGGTCGATAGACACTGCCATCAAATTATTTGTCTGGAAAGTGGGGAAAAAAATGTCAGAGCCTTTTGTTTTTTTTTTTTTNTTAATAAGATTTTAAAGACTTTTGGGGCTAAGTCACAAATGACTGAGGTGACTTGAGCTTTATAATTTTTTTAATAAAAATACATGTTTATGCTATATCGTAATTTTAATTATTTTGCTATTTAGAGCATAATATTAAGTTTTAAAGTTTACAAATTTATTAAAAGATTATAATTATGGATCAATTTTATTGGCCTAATAATAGTTTTACTTGTTAGCTTATGGTTTTTGGTTTCTGAATTTTCTTTCAAGTTCATTTTTCCTGCACAAATAAGTCCATTGAAGTCTTTCATATATTTTTAAACAGGGACGGAGCAACCCGAAAGGCTAGAGTGGGCTTAGAACCAGTCTTAATTTTCTGACTTTGTTAATTTTATACTGCTAAAAATTATTTAGCTCATATTCGAACTCAGTACTAATTTTATTTTGACCTAAAATAAGTTAAATTTGTTATACATTAAATCAACGAATTATATAATTGAACATTAAAGTTTTTTCCACTTTCCGTTTTACATTATTATGCCCCTTTGAAGTTCGAAC